GTCTGCATGTCTACGATACCGAAAATCCACTTACATGCTTAAGATCATCAGCATTAATGAAGAATTCCGTTCCGTCTGCACTGGCCGTCACCTCCTTCGCCAATCTCGCATACTGAACCACCTGCGTCTCCACAGTAAAGTTGGCTAGTGCTCCAACCTTGTGGACGAACCTACTCAGATATTGGTCCACTAGCGCCCGTAGATCTTCGTTCCACGGTGTCGTAGGGTTCTCCTTCAATAAGGAAAACTGCAGCCGATAATGCAGCGCCCTCCGCGCTATCTTTGACTCGATATTCGGCTTCACATTCTTCTGGTCTGTTTGGGGGTACACGTGCATGTGCACTAATTTTTCAATGGCAGAATGAACTGCATCCCCTTTATTTACTTCACACTGCGACGACCACGCGTGGTGATACTTTCCGACTGTCAGAACTGGGGTAGAAGCCGCCGCGTTCTCGTCACAAAGCAGGAAAACGCTAAAGCGCGTGTGATCCGTCATCAGCGTCTCCAACACGTCGTCCGTCGCCTGTAGTCCTGATGTCATCGCAGTCTGTAGCGCTTTCTGCTGCTTTGCGTTTAGTTGTAAGTTGTGCGTCACGTACGCGACGTTGGAGGCGCTGGAAGGCGGCGCAGGCGAAGACACTGAGCTTAAACTGTAGATGTTTACATGGAAATTGTCCGGTCCGCCAAAGCGCGACGCCGCCCACGACAGCTGCTGGATGCGGTCTACAGGGAGATCCACGCGCTCCACCTGCGTTAGATGCCACGCCACAGGCGCTGCCAGCAGCGTGAAGAGCACAAAGGCGCCCACGATCTGCAACCGCGTACCCGCCATGTTGACAAGAAAGTATCAATTGAGCGATCGCAATTAGGGTTACGTTTTGAGGTTACGTTGGATTACCGCGCATTATTATCGGGGACTGCCATCCTAAAGAAGAGTACGATGCCTTGCACTCCATGTTTCCTCAGCTAGAGACTGATAGCATAGCTATTTAAACTTGAAGCCCTTGTGCTTGTGCTTGTAGCGCTTGAATTTTCCTTTCTTGTTGTAGTAGCCGCCGCCGTACGCGACACCAGGGTACGCGACGTACTGTGGCTGCGGCGCCGCGTAGCCACCTGGAGCGAGTGTCGCCTGAACAAATAGCTGTCGACCTTGAGATGCGTAGTACGCTTGTGCCTGCTGAGGAGGCGGCGCCGCGTAAGCTCCTGGAGGATAGCCTGGCGGAGGGTATTGAGCCGGGTACGGCTGGCCTGGAGGTGGGTATCCTTGCGGCGGGTATGGCTGACCTGG